AAGGAAGTAAAACATGTATTTCTTACTTTTTTGGTAATAAAGCTTAGCAACAGACAACAACATAATCCTTAACTATAAACAATTAGGATTATATTGCCCCAATTAGTTTTAGATTTCTACCTCAGATGAAATTGTAATCCTGGCTGCTGCACCCACACATAAACACAGCCCTAAATTTCTCTCTGCTTAAACCTCTAAATTAATGACAGTTGATCCAAATTGCTGGTTTTCAAAACTAATCTTATTTCTTAAACTCATCTCCACCACTGTGCACCTCTGTTGCCCCTCCCTCTTCATCCTTCCCCCATCAAGTATGTCACAAATTCCACTGGAAATCCTATATCTCGAAACATATATGATAGTATTGAGGAATAAAGAAAGCATCCTGTCAAAATTAGGTGTTTGGGGATTCTAACCACGGTCTGCAACTAATTTTGAACTGCTATAAAACTGTATTTCTTTCTTAATATGTAAAATAAAAAAAAAAACTCTATCACAAATCACACCTTGATCCAGTTTAGCAGATAAATGATCATACATAGTTCAAAGCAAAGAGAACACTTAGTGGATCTTTTCTTTTTTAAAATAGAAGTTCTCCATAGGAATATTTTATTTACTTGAAAAATACAAACTACAAGTAGAGTATGCCAGAAGAAAATAAGAGCAGTTGACTCTCTGAAGCTACAGAAATAAGGAGAGCATGGACTTTTAAACCCTCTGTAAAGGTCAATAAGTTGATTTTTAAATTATAGCTTAATTCAACAAAATGTTTCTTGAAAACTCTTTATGCATAAGGATTCACCAATATATATTTTCCATGACTCAGAAGTAAAGACGCAAGTGCCCGTTAATTTGGCAAATACCTGTAAATACTGCATTACACGATTACTCTAGATGAAAACATTACCAGGATATCCTCAGAAGGCAAATGCTACTTAGCACAAACATATTTTGCCTATTTAATTTGCTCACATAAGTAGTAGTGCATAATAAGAATTCACTGCTAACTAAAACTAGGTGTAATCATTAAAGTAAAAAAAGATGTATATGTCTTAGGGACTATGCCCCAGACCTTTTCTAAACTTAATATGAATTAAGATTTCCTAACAACTAGGCTATTTCAATCACCTGAAGACCAGAGTGGATTAATACTTACATAATTAACCAATTAATGCAGATACCCTGTCTTTCACATAAGGCGCTCATACTAAAGCCCTTTTGATCCAACCTCTCCTTCACTAAAATCTCTAAAGGTCCCTAAAGTGATCTCCACCCACATATTAATTTCACTATTCAGTCTGCATTTAGCCTACATTTATGCAATGTACATTTCAGAACGAGTGTTTCATAAAATTTATTAACATTCAATGACACATAAAAATGGTCAAACTAAAATATCTGTAACACAAATAGACAAAACCAAAACAGATTAAAGATAAATTATGTTGCTGATTATAAAAAATATGAGGAATAGCCAAATAAACATTACGAAAAGTAATTTCAATAAAATCTGGCCACATGCTAGTCACACATTTCTGTATTAGTCATTCCATACTAAACTGACACATCTGAATACACAGTGTGTTTTTGAGACTTTTTTCTTTTATTAAACATATAGCCATAACGAGGCATATATTTTAGAAAACAAGATTCTTATCAGGAAATTAAAAATAAATAATATTCACTCAAAGCAAATCTTCTTTAACATTCAGAAATCGTCTTAAATGAATCAATATCAGAAGTAGTAAGCTTAAATAAAAGACACTGAAACACCTATTGCCAGAACCCTTGGAAGGAAAAAGATAGGAAGTATCTATTTAAAGGGGGTAAATCATAGTCAATACAAATTCTCTGTTCTTTGTTTCCTCTTTTTCTGAGAAATCATTCAACATAATATTCATAAGAAAAACGAGAAAGGAATAGAATTGGCTTTCACACATCCTGTGTTTGTACAGGACTTCAATTTCATTACTTTTATAACATTAGACACAAATGTGATTAATAAGAGTTGTTAAAATCGACATGAATTTTAGTAGGCTGATTAAGTGCCAGTCATCAGAGCCCTAGACTCCACCTAAGACTGAATTTACAAGTTCATCCTACATCATTCTTTCTCTCCAATAATCTCATCCTTCAGGAAACAAACTTTTTAACACTAAAATTTCAACATAATCCCAATAAAAGCTCTAATTCCACCTAAAACCATTTCCTTTTTTCCTACCTCTTCTCAGCAGTTTCATCATAAATGCTGAAGTGAAACAATGCTGAAAATCGAATTATCAGAAATGTGCCTTCATAAAATGTTATGGATTTATGCTAAACTTACTGAATTTCAGTATTTTTAAAAGCATATTAAGTTAGAATGGTGACCTCATTTAACTTAAAGAATGGATTTAAGCATCAATAAGATTTCTCTAGTTTTATTATCGATGAACTTAAACTTTAAAAAGAAAATGCTTTATAATGCTTAATCATGAAATTAATAATTTTATGACTGAATGTGATAATTTAATGTTGTGGTGGGTTGACACATGCGAAGGAACTCCCCCCCACCCCCAGAGACTAAAATATTTTTTTTAAAGTCTTCTGAAAAAAAGTAAGTTTAGGTGACACTTTTAAAAGTCCAATTACATTTTGTGCTTTTTGTAATTTAAAAGTTCAAATCAAGTTATTGGTGACATTTAATATTTTATATCCAAAGTTGGAAAGTTGGTATTCAATCAAGTTGTGGTCTCTGTTGATTTGTTTGCTAATCACTCAGGGTCACTGGTCACAGCTAATGTTTGGCTAGAGTCACTTAACATATAGAGAACAATAGACTAATTCAATGATGGTTTAAAAAGAAACATTGTTTCAATTTATTTGGGTGAAGCTTTGTTCTGGGTAATCATAGTTCCCAGTGCTAAGTTAATGCCATAAGATATAAAGTTTTCAAACACTAACAAGTAATCCTGTGTAAAGTATTACATCTTTTTGTTAGGACACAGACTCCTGATTATATTTCCAAATGACACACTGACATAAAAATAATCATTTCATTGGATATTAAAGAACTTCTAAAGAGCCACATCATTGTCTTGTCTAATTCCATAAGGTTATGAGGCTCAGGTTAAAAACAGGTGAAGACACTTTGTCATAGTGTACTATAAAAGTTAAAGTACTTAAAATTATCTTTAATGGTTACAGGGTAACTATAGTCATCTAAGATTTATACTTCATATCTCAGGTTTTATAAGGTTTTATGAAAGTTCATAGTGAATGGAAAGTAAGTTCTATTTCATACCTTTTTTTATAGTAAGGAAAATGAAAACAATGCCAGGACAAAATGTATTAATAATCCAAGCGTTCCCTACGATATATTATTCTTCTGTATACACCTGTAAGTTTTATAAACCATTTAATAGTTTCCCACAGATAGCTTAGTCAAATCAGTTGTACTGAACTCTTTTCAGAAAACCAAGCACACAAATTCCATTGCCAAAAATTTGAGATTAAAAAATTTAAAACACAGCTTATCTTTTAACATTTAAAACTCAACAGCTTATGCAAAAAGAGACATCTCAAATTTCCTTATTGAAAACATTTAACAATTCAGAAAAGCAACAATAAAGAGTTGAAGTAGTGTACCTCTACATAAAAGATTATTATTTAAGTAATAGATTAGTAGGTAGTTTGCATTAAGACACATAAGAACCACGGTTTTTTTCCTTTCATAACATCTAAGCCTTTTTAGAAGAATAGAACATAGCCTAAATCTACGTCTAAATTATTTTTCTCACAAGAAAACCTTCCTACGTAAAGAGAAAAGAGACACCTCAGTTTTAGGATATATTTCATAGAAAAAGTGTTTTTTAAAAAAGTTTTAAATAAGAGCTCAATGATTAATTAATAGCAATGACGAATGTCACTAGCATTTAAGGAAAAAACCAAATGATTACATAAAAATAAATCACTATCTACTATTGCCTTCTTTTAACAAAAGAAAACAACCACTGATTAATCAATCTCATGTCACTACAATCCACATTTTAATATTTTCCTTCACACCTGAAAAGGATACACAATCTAGCATTTACCTAAATTGGGGATGGGATTAACCCCTACCAACACATATATCTAAATTGAAACTTTTTTCTGATAATTCCATTTTAACAAACCTTTCTGAAGTCAGACAGAAATGTCAGTATACTTACACGTGACTGAGTAAAAAGACGACGAAACAAATCAAGTAATATCTGAGAATTGAAGCTTAACAATTTTGGCTATCATTTGTCTACTTGAGAACTTATAGGAACATTTGAAAGTAAAATTTTGTTTTGCAACATATTGCCACCAATTCCTTTCACAGGGGACTGATCAAGCAGACACAACTTGTCTACATTAGGTGGGGGACCTTGTAAGCAAGTCCTCTTTCTAATATTATGGTCTGGCACACTATTCACTGTATTGCATTAGCAACTTCAAAACTCAAATTCTTCAACAGAAGGTTCAGTTTGAAGAATAGGGTTCATTGTTAGTACCTCTGATTTTTAAGCCTTAAATCCCAAGCTAACGCTTCAAAAATGTACAAATACAACAGCACAACTTTTGATTGTGTATCTAAGGATTTTTTTTATGGTAATATAAGAGCATATTCTAAAACAGCTAAATGGACATGCACAATAAACATATTATGATACTATCAGACATTATATTCTCCTGAATTTGTACAATTTTTACTTAAGATACCTGTTAGTAAGTAATATTATTTAAACACTTTTAAATAAAATATTTACCACTGGCCAGTGAGATACTGAATACCATTACTTAAGGGGAAAACTTGAAATGGCACCAGATAAATCACTTAGGTTGTCTACCATGTCTACTTTCAAAAGACCACTTAAACTTATATAAAATAGCACAGGAATCTATGGAGAACACACGCAAACAAATGAATATTTAGATCTATCAACTTATCTTAACCGTACCATTATTAAGAAATAGAAAGACATTAATCTTACCTTGGATAGCTGTTAGAAAAAACTGATCGGCCAGGGAAGTTCAAAGTCCCCAAAGAAGTCAAGTTGTCATCGCCAGATCCTTGGCATCTATTCCAGGTTTCTGAATCAACAGGAATTGGTGGAATGACATTAAAAATAGGCTTCTGATCCTGCTGTTGAGAAAGGGATGCTGTATTCATGTCATAGTGGTACATCTGTCCTCCAGAGGTACTCACACCATGAACAGAAATGGCAGACATTTTATTACCAATTATATTTGTTCCAGAAAAGCTTGCCTGACAATAAACTGGGCCTAGTTTCTCTTGTTTAATTACCCCAGGGGTGCAGAGTTCGATGAAATCTTCTTTTTCTGTTTTCACTTGGGGCAGTGTTACACTGGTGGGGCTTGATGTGATCAAATCTCCAGTATCCTTAATTTTAGGCTTAGTGTCCGGTAAAATGAAAGGCTTACAGTCCTCATTTGAGTTTCCTTCCATAAGGAATGGATCATCCTCTCCTGCCAAAGGAGAAAGCAAACAGTTTTCATCTATCAATAGGTCTGATCTCCAAGGGCTCTCATTAGTCTCTTTACCTGGGGACCCAGAAGGAAACTCCAAATCCTTCAAAATGTCAAAGGTGCTTTGGTCTGTGGTATACAACTTCACATTGCCACCGCTGGTGCCAGTCTGGCCCTTTAAATGTTGCTGTTCTGAAGATGTATCAGAGTGAGTTTTGGGGAACTCCTCTGTGGGAGCAGCAGACACAGCAGTGGATGCTGAACTCTTGGGGTTTTCTGGAACACTGGTCGACCTATTGAGGTTTGCGATGCTTTCTTCTAGAAGCCGAAAGTCTGTTTCCCCCGAGGAAAGGCTGATTTGGCCCTGCTGTGGGAATCCTAGGTCATTTCCCATCACTTTTGTTTCCGTCTCTCCCATATACAGTCCCATTGAGAGTGAAACTGCTTTGGACAGATCTGGCTGCTGCGCATTGCTTGCTGAGGCTTTTGGAATATCAACCAAAAGTCTTTGCTGCTTGGAGTTTGCCTGAGAAGCAGCAGCCAGTGAGGGTGAAGATGCAGAAACCTTCACAGTAGCTCCTCCCCTTAGGGTTTTATAGAAGTTCATCACATTTCCCCTCTCCTGACCAAGCACAGTGCTGGGGATTTCTTCTCTACTGGGAGGAGTTAATGATTCTTTGGAGTCCATCAGTGTATATCAGCTACAAAAAAAGAGATGGGGGGAAAACATAATAAGCTCTAAAGTCACATTATCTCTCTGATCCGATTAGGAAGAGACAGCCTGTTAAATGAACCTTTTAGTTAACTTCGAATCAAATTCTTTGTTATCTGACGAGTAGTTTCTATATTCCAGAATAAAAAGCCATGTCCCCTGCTCCCATTCAGTAGGCCACATTTAAAAGTACAATGCAGTCCATTTGCACAGCTGAGGGCAAAATTGTATTGAACTAAGCTTGGCTATTCATCCTGCCACTCACTGAACGTGTAGCTTTGTTAATCATAGACATTATAATTCATTATGTCTGATTAGTCTAAAGGTTCAAGCTGATGTCAAAGTATTTAATTTCAAAAATAAAAAGAAAATAAGTGCAATCATTAAAATTCCTACCTCTTTTCAATCAAGGGGTTTGCTTTTTTGAGAAGCAACACATACAACATTTGATAAATACTATGCTAGAGTTCCTAATCCCTAATTACTCCCCAATTCCCTTCCTACCAGCTAGTCACACATCCAATCCTTTTAGTACAACCTACTAGGGAGCCACGCACATTTTCTTTGAAATATAAACAATGCTGATCTACTTATCTACTAGGCTAGGAAAAGGCTCTTACTTTTAACCCATGTTTCTGACAATGTGCCTACCTCCAAATGTTGGATATACAAAATGATACATTGTATATAGGCCAGCTAAAATTCAGACTTTAAAAAGCAGAATAGAATGTGTAGTAGCTTCTTACTACAATTTTAGCTTATTTAAATATATCTTAAATATAGCTGCCTGACCCTTACCATAACTCATAATACATCTAGATTAAACATTTATTTAAATTGCTTGAGACCCTCAAAATGAAATACTATTATATCTATAAATTAAGGTCTTTCCTTTCCAAATACTGAAGTACTGACAAACAGAAGCAAACTCCAAACTGTAAAATCACATTCATATAAATTCAGAAAAAAGCGGTATCCAGCAAAATGTTCAGAATAATTTGCTATTCCAATTCTACGCCTATTCTCAAGAGGACTGGGCTACTATTGTTAATAATCAGGGTGTTTTTAAGAGATGGGCTAAGACTTTGAGAAGCACATTTAGAACATTATGGTCAAATCCTGTCTAATAAAAGCAAACCTTTCCTATACGATGACACTAGGAAGCATAAATGTCATCGGCCCTCACTGAAAGGTGAATAGATTTTAAAGGAGACGAGAGGGTTGGGAACCTGCCACGACAAATTTGAGGGTAAACTGCTTATCTCCCTATCCCTCCACCGTGTTTATCTGATAGCGATCTCTAAACACAAGGTATCAAATAAAGCCTAATGAATTTCCACGCTGCTTTTTTGACAGCTGCCTTCGAACCCGAAACCAAAACAATACTTCCTAAAACGAAACGCTCCCTCAAGCGACATTATTCCCCTGTTCAAAGTGCAAATAACCCAGCCACATTAGTCGGTCCTAATGAGCCACGCCAAGGGGTCTTAAGTGGTATTACAAGGTTGCAATTACCAAGTCTGCAACCCCAAACGTCAAACTAGCCCCTGTCAAAAATCGCAGCACGAAACTACGACGGCGAGGGAGGGTCTCCTTCTACAGGGGCCACTTAGAAACGCCAGGAGCAAAAGGACGCTAAAACGCTGACAAGCCCCCCCCCCCCCCGGGGGAGAGGGAGAAAAAGTGCGAGGTGAGAAGGGAAATGTGTCCAGACCTGTTGCGTTCTCTCCCCGGCACGCCCACTTCTACCCGATAACGCCAGTCCCAACCGAAGTCCCCGAGTTGCGGGCTGTGGCCCCGCGTGCGCTCCCCGCGCCGCGGCCGGGCGCGCCCGGGCTAGCCAGGACCCGCGCTCGGGCGCAGCGGGCGGAGTGGAGCTCGTTGGACGCAGGGACTTGAGCGTTCCCCGGGAAAATGGGAGTCGGGCGGCCCCTGGGAGGACGAGGAGGACTCGGGGCAGGAGAAAGAGGCCAGGAGCCCGGCCGTCGG